GCAGGTAGTGGAGAGCGAGTTTAGGATCAGGCCGGTGTGTGAATCAATATGTTTGCTGCCGGCCAAATTGGAGTCTGTTGTGGATAAACTGAAGGAAGCTATGGGGGGCAGCTAATTAGCCAGGAAGAGATTGCCTAAAGTTCCCAAGGTATGAATCAATGAACCACTGCGCACAGTTTTTTTTGTTACTTATATTCAGTAGATTTCAGAAGCATATTGAACAACTAGCCAGTCAATTCTCCGTATAAATGTTTATCCTTACTGCATCTAGGGAACATCTGACTTTTGGGGGAGATCAAATGGCCATAAGGCGGTGTGTACTCTCAATAATAGCAAGTGTATTTGAGCTGAAACAGATAGACCAGAGGACCGGCGCTACAAGTTCTGCTAGAATTGAGAAAGGAGGGTAGCAAGTTTATGGACAACGACGAGGCTGTTGTTGCGTTGAATGAGCTGGAGATATTATTCAGAGCACTAGAAAAAGCAAATGCGATCGACAGGATAAGTTTTGATTTAATTGAGCTTTGCTCTCTGCGGTATGATCTGACTTATTGAAGAGACATCCAGTAAGATCTAACCATCTAAGCTCTCTTTGTTTTTGGTGATTCCAACTATTTGCCCTATGCTGAATTTCCAAAGCAATTAACGTGTATGCAGATCAATTGATTGCTCATGGCTGCATACTGACACGCTATGCATGCAGTGGTAGTAACTACTCTGTTTCTTGGCAGCAGATCATATTGACCCTTTGCATCATTCTTTCGCTCTGTCGGCCGGGATGAGGTTCCCTGTTCTCTCCCGCTGCTCCTGGTTTGTTCTTCAGATTAGCATCCATTTCTGTGATAAATGACCGTGTGCGATCTACTCTCCTGAGCCCTCTGAAACCTTACATTTTGGATGTATACAGCCAAAATTTCAAAAACTGTCACTGCTAGTATTGAACTTATATGCATTCGAGAATTCCTATGATAAAATAAATGACTTTGTTGCCAATGTCCAAACACAAAACATGGTGTGGTTTGCTACAGTATGGTCGCAAAGAAGAAATCTTCGAGCATTGATATAGAAAACAGGGGTTTCTTCTTTGCTACAAAATTGGAGTTCCTGGTAAAAAAGGTTAACACAAACTCTACATAGGGGGATAATGCTGCATGCATTTGAAGGCAATCTACCTTCCTAAAACTCCAGAACTTTGAGCAGGAGACCGGCATACACTAACTGAACCATGTGACTGCTATTTAGTTAAATATAAGGTACAGAAATCTCAATCAAACATGTACTGTGGGATATATACATACCACAACCGAACACGAGGTAAGTTCAAAAAGATCAATAATGGAAGTAACATTACAATAGAAGTACAAATTACGAGAGTTAGTGACGGATTCAACAGTGCCACATACATATGCATTACAAGAATCAATAATGGATGCAGTCTGTTTATTTAGTCCTCGAGAAGGCGATGCAGACTTGATGAAACAATCCCCACTTAATTATACAATACGTATCAGATGATTTGTTGGTCAATCAAAAGATAATGTGACATATTCCAGTCTCTTCACTCGGTAATTATCTTTGGCCACTTGTTGGCATACTTTTCATCCAAGTACTTGGGGGTGTCCTTCAAATCTTGTACCAAGAACTTGGTTATTTCATCTGCTTGATTACCAACACTGACATGCACCTCTTGGAGGCTCTTGAGAGTCTCAATGCCGTAAATCCCTTCAAAGGCTTCAAACCGCATATCAATCCTCTCCAGTGCTGGCATTAACTCTTTTCCTGTAACTGCAAAGCTCAGCCTTGGCACCATAGTTGCAAAGAAGCAAAGAAGCTTTAGACTCTTGAATCCTCCAGGTGGAATAATGATCTCCCTATCGGTAAGTTGTTTATTTTCCTCAAGAATGTCCACTATGTCCCTATCATCCTTGGTTGCATTGAGTGTAAAGGTGAGCGTAAACAATTTGGGCAGGTCCTGGATGAGCTTGAAAGTATCGGTCCGAAGAACTGTCATAGAAAGGGTCAGCTTATAGAGGTTATTGAGTTCTTTGATCCACTTTGGGGGCCTTTCCATCTTGCCAGACAACTCTAGGCCGATGATGTATCTTGGAGGAGTGGTCATGGTGTTTAGTGAGTTGATAAAATTAGAGCTCTCATCATTGATTGCCAATGTCTGCAGACCGCAGCTACAGAGGTACTCGATGGAGGAGCGTAATTGGTTGAAGGTCTGACCGCCCTCCCTTATATTGAGCTTGTAAATGGCAAGTTTCCTTAGCCCTGTCAGCTGATGAAGGCTTGCTACAGCTGATGAGTCCTCATCGATCTCAATCCCTGACAAGATACGAAGTGCTTCCATCGGCTCCTTATTCTTCTCATGTGGCAACTTCAAAGCCTTCTTTGTGTTTTTGTTCCCTCCAAGCATGCTACGGAGCTGTTTGAGCTGTCCAAAAGCTTTTGGCAGCACCCCGACAATTGTCTCCCTTATGTCAAGAGTTTCTAGATACTGGAGCTTCTCGATCTTTGATGGAATCTCAGAAACCTCTGTTCATCGGAGGCTCAAATACTTCAACACGAGCATTTTACATATGTCATTCATATGCTTATCTGTCAAACCCTTCCAGCCCTCAAGATCTGGCACTTGTATTATTCCATTGTTGAACGAATGGAAAGGGAGCCATCTGTTCTGGCTTCCAAACGCTGTCAGTGACCGCACTTGAGACAAGTTCATACCTTTTGTTGAATTCCCATGCTTGGAACCACTGCTTTGCATGAAGAGTCGACGGACTTTGTTGCTAGGAGTTGGCATCAGCCAATGTCCACCAACAACAGTAATAAAATTCTCTTCGCTTGACTTGGACACGATATATTCCAGGATCATGTCATGAACTTTAAAGGATTTTACCTTCCCGTTGCTGCTGTGATCCACAGGGCGTATTATCTTCCTGCTTACAAGCTGATTGAAGTATGTTTCTGCCACTTCCTCTGCACTCAGCCCTTGCTTCTCAGCGACGAAACATTCTGATATCCATCGCCGGGTCAGACGCTTCTTACTAACTTTCGAGCCCTTGGGGAATATGCTTAGATACAATGAGCAGGTCTTGAGATCTGCTGGCAAATCATTATAGCAATAATCAAGTATCCTTGTGACCCCCTCCAATGTAAGGGGAGCCACCTGCTCCGGAAATAATGACTTGCAAACTTTACTCCAATGATCATTGTTTTTTGTTGGGTTGCAAGCCACAAGGCCAGCCATGGTGACTATGGCCAAAGGCATCCCCCCCACAATATTTCCATATCTCCTCATGGACCTCTTCTATCTACCTTTCTTTGCTTCTCTATGGATCAGAAACACGGTCATCGAACGGACCTTTGGCATTGGCATCACTTGGGACATCGGCTGAATGCAGATGATCTGTTCCATCTCCTTCAGAGGACTCAGCACCAACAGGTTGAGATCTTGTATCCATTCTTTCGCTTTCTTGGCTGCTTGGGGATTCAGAAACACCCTGATGAAATAGACTTTTGGAGTCGGCATCACTTAGGTCATTAACTATATGCTGATAATCAGTTCCATCTCTTTCTAAGCAAGCCGCACCAACAACTTGAAATCTTGTAGTTACTATTACTCTACTATCCTTATTATTATCATGTGGCAACCAATTTCTAATGGTCTCCCATGTTTGTACAGACCATATATCATCAATCAAGAGGAGGTACCTGCAAAAAAACAGGAAACAAAATACAAGTGAGAAGAAACATCCTTAGCTTACTTTAGTTCATACCACTGAGAAAAAAAATCCTCCGAACAGTCCAAGAGAGCCTTATACGTATTCAGATTCAACACAAATTCAACTAGTTCGACCCAACCTATATCCAAATTGCCATATTTCTATGAATTGGATGGATATAATTTTATGATTTTGATTCTACTTTTTAGGTCCAATTTTAGTATGTTACCTGCTACGTTTTCTACAGAAATTTTTATTTATACTCGACTAGGTTCAGCTATAAAAATTGCTATTGGTAACAAGTTGAAGTTCAGTTATAAAATTTCCACAATTATTCCTTGTGCAACCTTTTTTTGACGAAACTTCCTTGTGCAACTTTAACTATTAATATTTTGGTGTTTATTTATCAAGGCTCCACTAGTTAGATAAGGTTTCTATTTTCTGAAAAATATTCCTTTTCTCATTCACTATTGTACATACTTTAGAATGAAATGGCTGTGGTAAACAACACAATTTTATCGCAGCTTTACTACAATTTAGACACTTGATGCATATACACAGTCATTACTAACTAACTACGAGTAGTTTAGAAAAAACAAAAGAAATAATTTTGAGGTACCTCCTTCCAAGCAGGCGCTTTTTGAGTTCTTCAATAAGCTGGTCACGATTCATTGTTTCTATTTTATTCTCCATGCTGCCATCGTTGCTTTGCGGCCTGTGACCAGAGAGCAGTGGCACAACTCGCTTAACTGAGCTTTTAATACCTGTCACTAGGCTCTTCTTCTCCACCTTGCCTGCGTTGCTGCCCTCCTGCACCTCCTCCTTTGTCTTGATTTGACTGTCTGCTGGCTTGATTTGCCCAAGAACATCCCTTAGGACTTCATCTTCATCAAAGTTCTGAGACACTGTGACTGATGCTCGGCAGTCAAATTCATTCCTGAAATCTCGGTATAGTGCCATGGCAATGGTGGTCTTTCCCACACCACCAAATCCAATCAATGACACAACAGCTCGATGAGAGCCTTTATCATGTTTGGCTAGCCAACCTCCGAGCTTCTTCATGTCCACCTTCACTCCCACGGGGTTCTCTGTGCGGATGAGCTGACGGCTCGCCACCAAATGCTCAGCAATGCCACACGTAACAGCATGGGTTGCTCCGGCTCCGGAGCTTGTTCTTGGGTTTGGGTTGTTCACTCCATATCTGCTGCGCCTCTCAGCAATGTACTGTGCCCGGACCTTGAGCTCGGCAATCTTGGAGGCAATGTCATGGTGAGGCTAGAACGTCCACATCTCGTAGACTATCGTCACGATGAAGGAGCATCTTGCATCGCTGAGAGAGTCCTGAGGGAGGCGATGAGCAAAGTCATCAATGCAGTCTTCCATGTCGTATGCCATGTCACGAATCTGCTTCATCCAGTTCTTGAGCCGGCGATCGTGGTCATCCAGGGCAGAGCCGAGGTTGCCAAGAAAGGCCTGCATGCTGCTGAGCTTGTCGCTGATGTACTGGATGTCGCCCCGGACGCCACGGATCAGAGTGTACTCTTGGGCAAGGAGACCGCCCAACTTGCCTAGGAGAGATCTCATGGTGCCTTCTGAAGCACCCACTACAAACTCCATCGTCCTTCTCTGTGCTCTTAACTACTACAATCCGCCCCTTGTTGTTGTAACTTGCATCTCTTTAAAGAAGGGGTCAATACATATATATGAATGAAACTCAACACAAATGATGGTAATAAAATAAAATTATGAATATTTTTGTTTATATACATCATGTTGTTTTTCAGAGTAGCCCCGCTTAGAGGTCGTCGCGTTGTAGATGAACTCGTAAACGTAGTATCCACAAAAATCATTCCCGGCTTCCTGCCACAAGCACTTTACGAGAAATAGAGTTCAATCAAACTGATAATCAAGCATCCTAAATGCTATTGATGAAACTAGCTAGAATCAATGGGAGATGCGCGAAACTAGCTAGTAGTAGTTACTCTCGGGTGTGTAAATTACAGCTTCGTCGGTAGTGGCGGAACAATTGCGGTGAACTCTTTCCAAGCCTTGTCAGACAAAAAGAATAATTACTTGATATCAGGAAATGAACAAATTAAGTTGCTGATATGGTGAAATAATGATCGATTGAACTTACTTCTGGAGCATTTCAGTCATGTCCACATAGTCCTGGGGATCTTTTTGTCTCGAGTCTAAGACAGTTACTACCCCCCGTTCAAGCATAACCTCTAGGAGAATAAAGTGGAAGCTGCACACGCATGCATAACTCATCAATTACATTACTATAAGGGTATGTCTAGAACACATCTAAGCTGATGTCCACTCTGTTTGCGGTTTATTTTTTTTTGTCCTAGTTTTTTTGTTTCTTGTTGCTGCATTATATATTTGTGAGAGCTTAGATGTGACATCCTTAAAAAACATCTAGATGTGAATTAGACAAACTGTTACTATAATTAACCTTGAGTAAGGAAAACCGAATATGCACAAGACAGTAACACTCACTTGAAGTTGTAAGGAAAGAGTATTTTCTCTTTGTTTTGATTTTTAAGCAACGACTGTAGCAAGTTGTCCTAGGTATATGTGACTCTGTGTTTAACCGTTCATTCATGTATGATATTTGAGTTAATGAACCCATTGTCAAGGACCCGTGGAAAGGGACACTCATGTCCTCGGCAGCTCGCCTCATGCTCGCCAACTCTTCTCTCTCTAGTCTCCCAATCTACTCGATGGGCATGTTTCTTCTTGTCGACGACACTCGCGAAGGATTTGCTAGGCATCAGTCCAGAATCTTTTGTGATGGGGTGGGAGAGAAAAGGAAGTGCCACATGGTAAAATGGGTTGAAATGTGCAGGCCTAAAGACTAGGGTGGTATCAGCATTCTCAACTCTAAAGTTCTGAACATCGCCCTGCTTACCAAGTGGATTTGGAGCTTCTTCTTGGTGGAGGAGGATCAGTTGATGTGGAAACGCATCCTTAAGGTAAAATATCATTGAATTGACAAGTTATTCACCTCTACCCCAACGGGAGGTTCCCAATTTGGCATAGTTTGCACAAAATAGAAAAAAAAGCTGGGTGCCAAATTCTCCCTGGGCAATGATTTTAACATCCTTTTTTGGCATGACTGGTGGAGAGTGCCCTCAAAGTCTGGTTCCCGTGCTTATTTGACATCCTAGCCTTCCAAACATCCTAGTCTCGCAGGCTCACAATGGGGAGGGGTGGCTACTAGGGTTCAGCCACACCTTTCCCCAAGAGCTAGATCAATGGCACATGCCGTGGGTTGAAAATGAAGACTATTTCCCCGTTGAGAGACATGACAATGTGTCCTGGGTGTTAGAAGCTTTGGGTTGCTTCTCGGTTTCGTTGCTGTAAAGGAAAATACTAAACAACTTTCTTTTTGGTGGCAAAAGTGCTCCTCAAATTTCTTTTTTCTTTTTGTGGCAACTTGCTAGAAACAGGCTCCCTTCGCGTGAAAAAATTCACTTCAGACATGGACACGAACCTTCAGATGGTAGATGTGCTCTTGGCGGTGTAGTGGAATCTGGAGAAATTTATGTGGAGTGGTCTACGCTCGATCCTTGAGGTTCAGTGGAACCCGAATGGCTTTGGATAGTTTTGACGGATTCTTCTCCAATTTCCCTTGAAAAAACGAAAGTTTATTTGGCTCTTATTTCCTGCCCAGTGCTGGGCTATTTGGAATATTCGGAGCAAATTTTCCATCAAAGGCATTTTCCCTCGTCAACCTATGATTTGTTTTTCTTAAAATTGGACTTTTCTTGCAGCATTGGTGGTTTATCTTAAAACCTAAGGATCAGTTGGTCATCAACAGCTTTCGGACAGTTCTCTGGCAACTCCTTAGAGAAACTTCCTCTCCAGCGGCTGTTTCGGTCCCCTCTTCATAGTTGCGTTATCTAGCTTTTCTATCTCAGCTGAAGTTTTTAGTTGTTTATCTAGGTCTAAGGTCAATATCTAATAACTTAAGACAGAAAGAAAATCATTGCTTATCAAATTCTCTATCGAGCCGTGAAAAAGATTCAACAAAAAATAGAAACAAATCCACTATTGGTTTTACGTCAAGCAATACATAGAGTAACTCCCAATATAGGAGTAAAAACAAGACGTAATAAAAAAGGATCGACGCGGAAAGTTCCAATTGAAATATGATCTAAACAAGGAAGATCACTTGCCATTCATTGGTTACTATAAGCATCCCAAAAGCGCACGGGTCGTAATATGGCATTCAAATTAAGTTCATGACAACAACATATGTACTAAAAATACAAAATGGGTATCTTTTAAATCTCAGCTTCCAAATTTCAAATGGAGAATCGAATAGTTTGGACTTTGGCGTGACCTCCACCCTCTTTCCTCATCGTCCTCTCCTCCGAGCGGTAGATTTGAGGGGAGGGCAACCAACTGATTCGCCACGGCTACGTGAAGAAGCAAGGTAGCCTCCGGTTTGGCCTCTTAACACTGTATCCGGGGAGGGGCAACCTTGTCCCCTCCATGATTTGTTGTGAATCGTCTCAGGGAGGAAGGGGGGGGGGGGTTCATGATGTACATATGCAATAAAATCTAGAGAGATATAGGTAGGGCCATGATTTAGATGTGCAATGAAGCCTGTGTGTGAAGAAGTCTCAGATGTTGAATGATTGACAGTGGTACTTTGACAGCCCATAGCATGAGTTGATCACTAATTAGAGAAAATTATTAATTTGACGTGATTGACTGGCTCATTGACTATAAGTCACGTTGACTAGACTAGGTTGTGTATGGTACTGATAGGATAGACTCCGTCAAGTCATCTAATTTTGAATGGCGTCCGTAGTCTTAGTTAATCTCCCTTCCTAGTGTGTATTGAATGTTTGAATCTTCTCTGGGTAAATATACTTCGAAAATATACAAAATTTCTGCACTAATTTGAAGCACAAATTCAGATCCAAGAGATAAAATGTAGATGTGCAAAAGGAAAATCTCTGTTTGAACTGATCTTCGCTTGCAGAACGGAGCAAGTATGTACACTCACATAATCATGAAATCGTGATTTTGATGTGCTATGAAAACATTATTTGAAAAATCTTTATGATGTTGAAATGAGTTAGACAGTGTGGTCCTCCGAAAACCGATCGTATGAGCTAATCACCAAGGAAAATAATTAATTCTTGATTTGACTAGGTCAATGCCCATGAGTACCATTTACAGGAGGATGTTTGGGTGAACATTTCATCCTTAGGCCTTAGCTACTCAATCCCAGGCTGTGAAACACATGACTTTCTCCCAAAAACATAATTGTTTTAAATGTGAAGGATATAGCTGTCAAAAAAAATGTAAATGGTGGATTCTTGAATAGTGTTAGCTTCAGATGAAGTTTGTGGGGGTGGGAATGGGATAGCAGAGGATGCAATCTTTAAAGAATCTGGTTGATGCAATGGAAGCAGAAGATCCTCCTAAAGGTTAAACATTTTATTTGTGGTTGAAGCTTAGGAATGAGCAATGCCATTTATGTATGCACGAAGAGACCGCGGATAATTCATAACTGACTGTGCTTTATTTATGTAGTGTGGTCTCCCAATAGCATTGCACATCTCATGATTTCCACGAGAATACTATTTATTTGGGAATGGAGTCTTCAGGTGTGGTGACTTTTTCTAATACCAAAAGCTATTCAAGTGATAGGTTGTGTTCTAGCTAGGGGAGTACAGATTTATGTCCAATTTAATATTTTTGTTGTACGAATTTGGAGTGCTGAAGCATAATCTGGCTTCTTTTTTATGAAGCCTAATCTGAATTTTCTTTTCTAATGAAGACCAGTCTGGCAAAAAAAATTGTATTTTATGAATTGTGATCTTGCATACGGTGTGCGATTTGTTTTCTTTCAGAAGTAGGATGTAAAATTTTCGGTTAATTTACGCTGAAGATCTCATTCAAAGTATCTGGCAGATTTGTGAAGAGTGCACTTGGTTGTTCCATCTTTGGTGTCAGTCGTCTCACGTGGTGAGGCAGCCATGTGAACAAATGAGTTTCTGAAATTGCCAGATGACCATGCAAATTTATTTTTTTGCCAGATGTGAAATACTTAACAGATACAACAAGTAAATACCTCAGTTTAATGCTATGCTGACCGAGTCATGCTATGCGAAACTGGCCAAAGATTGTAATCTCTCATCAATATCACTGTGTCAGCTAAGAGCCGAAGACCAACTAGAAATCCTATATAAGGGCACTACCACGAGTGAGGGCTTTTGGTGGCCGAGCATCAGGTAGGCCGGTATCCTGGCTGTTGGAATGGGCTTTGAGTCTGGAATCTGTCAGCTTGTTGGCAGGCTCGTGTCGGCTCGTGTCAGCCTATGCATCCATATACGGTCTGGGATACAGCCCGCGCGTACATGTTTGGCCCATCAGCCTGCTCGTGTCCTCTCTGCTCAACCTGTGACGCTCTTTCTCTGTCGTTGTCGTTCCTGTTCCGTCGCCCGGCCATCCCCCTCCCTCTCTCTTTCTCATCTGTGCGTAGTTCCCGCGGTGGTGGTCGTCGGCGACCACGCTCCCCTTCAGCCGTGGCCAGGAGACTGGGTGCAGCCCCACCCTCCCTCGGCTCCTGCGACCGAAGCGCCGGCCCGAGC